GCTCCCGCCCGACGGCCCGGCCCACGTGCTGCTCTCCGCACTGCTGCACGAGACCCGCGCCGGGCCCACCGCCGTGTGCTTCCTGCGAGGTGAGCGCCGGTGCCCCCGCCCGCTGCCCGCCCCTCTCCGACCTCAGCCAGGCCCCGCCGGCTAACTGTGCCCTTACCTTCCCTGCAGGAGGCTTCGATGGCTTCCAGGCCTGCTGTCCCGATCTGTGCTCCGAGTCCCCTGCCCCGGCAATGCCGCCTTCTGGGGCCGAAAACAGCCGCTCCGACCCCAGGGCTCCCTTCTATGACCAGGTTAGTTGAGATCAGGGCTCTTTGTCACTGTCTCCCTGGCCCCCTATGCAGGATAGGCGCCTCTGGGGAAAGAGTTGGCCACTTGTGGATTCGAGGAGTCTGGCCATGTCCACACTCACCTGTGTGTGTGTGTGTGTGTGTGTGTGCGCGCGCGCCTGCATGCAAACGGGAGCACACCTTTGTGTGCGCCTCTGTGGGTCTGTGTATGTCTGCAGCATATTTGGGGGCTTGAGAGGGACCTGTGTATCTGTGAGTGCGTATCTCTGCGTGTCCCCTTGTGTCCTGCTCGTATTCCTGAGTCTGATCCCTGGTCGGGACTGGCTGAGGGCTCCTCTTGCCCCTCCCTGTCTCTGCCGGGCTGGTGCTCAAGCCCTCCAGGCCTGGGCTGAGAAGACCTCACCCCGCCCCGCCCTCTCCCCCTCCCCCTCCAGGGCGGCCCTGTGGAGATCCTGCCCTACCTGTTCCTGGGCAGCTGCAGCCACTCATCGGACCTGCAGGGGCTGCAGGCTTGCGGCATCACAGCTGTGCTCAACGTCTCTGCCAGCTGCCCCAACCACTTTGAGGGCCTTTTGCGCTACAAGAGCATCCCAGTGGAGGACAACCAGATGGTGGAGATCAGTGCCTGGTTCCAGGAGGCCATAGGCTTCATTGGTAAGAGGGGCGCCTCAGCCCTGGAACCTGGACGGGCCCCAGGGGAGGGGCCTGGGGCACCTGTCTCCTCTCTTGCCCGCCTTCCCGTCTGACCCCCCCCCCCATTTCCCTTGCAGACTCAGTGAAGAACAGCGGAGGCCGGGTGCTGGTACACTGCCAGGCGGGCATCTCTCGCTCTGCCACTATCTGCCTGGCGTACCTGATCCAGAGCCGCCGCGTGCGGCTGGACGAGGCCTTCGACTTTGTTAAGCAACGCCGAGGAGTCATCTCCCCCAACTTCAGTTTCATGGGGCAGCTGCTACAGTTTGAGACTCAAGTGCTGTGTCACTGAGGCTGGGCCCACCATGCTGGCTCCTCCAGGGCTGACGCACACGTAGCCGCTGGTTCCTGGGGGGAGCTGACTGGGGACAGCTGGGCCCCCCACAGTCCCCCTCACCTCGGAGAGAGCTGCCCCTTCCTCAGAGTTTGAAAAGCCCCCTTGGGCGCACTGCGAATGCAGGAATGCTGGACTTTCTCACTGGTGCTCTTTTGCTAGGGGTTTGAGGGCCGGCCCTCATTCAGGGACTAGGACGGAGGGTCTGTCTGCTTCCCTCCTCCCCATCCTCTGGCAGAAACTGACTGGACTCTACACCCATGGACTCCCACTGGTCCCACCACCGTGTTGAAGCCCTTGGCAGCCTGAGAGCTCCAAGGAACAAGCTGTGACAACCCGGAGCCCCGTCTGGGGATGGTCCCCCCGGGGCCTGGAGCCTCGAGCTGTGCTCCTGGGGCAGCTGGGATCCGGGAAGTGATGCGTGTGTCGTGTGTGGACCTATGCTTGCGTGTGTACGGATGTGAGCATTTCACGCCTGTGTCGGCGCTGGAAAGTTATTTGTGTTCAATTGACATTTAACACTCCCTCCCCCACTTCCTCCCGCCCTGTGGGCGGGGGTTGGAAACTTAGCACTTTATATTTATATGGAACATTGATGTGTCAATAAAATATTGTTTTGTTTAAAAAATTTCTGAAGCGTCTGGTCTCAAGTTGATTCCTGGGAAAATGCTCAAAAGCTATTTCTTAATCAGACCTCAGCTTTCCTTGTGCCGGCCAGGTCTGGGAAGGGGCAGGTGTGACCTCACCGCTAGGAGGCGCCCTCCCTGCTCAGCTCTCCCTGTGCTGGTGTCATTTCCCAGGCAGCACTCTGTCCCCGGAGCTGAAAGAGGTTGTTCCCGGGAGGCTGGATCCCACCTTATTTTTGTTACTGGCTTTGGTCCTGTGGGGAAACGGCTGTGAACCCAGTGCTGCCCTGGTCATCCTCACTCCCTTTTTGGAGCGTGTGGAGGGATGTGTGTGTGCACCCAGTTATATGGCTGTTCCTATGGGTGTGAGTGTCTGTTCTTGGTTGGCACACACTTGCATGTCGAGTGTGTGGGTGTTCCTACATACCTGCATGTGTCTGAGCGTGTGCCCGTGCGTGTGGCCCTCAGGGCTGTGTGTATGTGTTAGGCCAGGCCTCCACTTCCCCACAGTAGGGCAGCACAGCCTCTCACCTCTTCTCCCATAGCCCCAGGCTGGGCCCCCAGGCCTCAGAATGTCTGTCCATTCAGCCCCTGTTGCACAGCTCCTTTTTGTCCCTGGAAGGCACGTGGCCTGGTCTGGTGCAGAGGACATATCACCGAGGATAGGCTTCGTTGCTCTTCACACCCACCCAACTATGCAGCACTCTTCACTCAACACTGGTTACGTGCCCGGCACAGGACTACCCTGTTTGGGGAGGCCTGAGACATGAGGCCCAGCCCGAGCCAGAAGCAGAGGGGTGCCCGCCGAGGCTGGCGGAAGTGGGTGCTGTGATTTGCCTGAGAGCAGGGTGTGCTGAGGCCCTCCAGGACGGCTCTTCGAGAGCCGATCCTGCTTCAGCCTCCACTCTGACGTTCCCGGCCACTCGGAGTGTCACCTAGTTAACTCTATTTTGTCCTTCCAAACTCAGGTCACCCCTACAGAATGCCGTCTCTTACCTGGTGCATTCTGAGTGCCTGGCAGGGTACACCCGAGCGGGGCCGTGTAGTTTGATGGTCAGGGAGCCAGTTTTGCTTAACCTTGCTGTATTTCAGTTTCCTTGTCTGTAAAATGGGGTTTTATCATGAGCCCCCACCTCTTAGGGTGGTACCGAGAATTACACAAGCCAGTCCGTGTACAAGGCTTAGCCCAGCACCCCACACAGTAGGTGCTCAGGAAATGTTAGCTCCCAACGGCCCGAGAGTGAAGTTGTGCAGCTGTGCCTTTCCACAGGCCGGCTGCTCCTGAGGGCAAGGCCTAGGGCTGTGGTCTGCTCAGCCTTGTGCCCGGGGTCTGGCACAGGCCAGCACGTACTCCACGAGGCAGAATGAAGGCCAGACAGCCGGCCCCCGGTGCCTGGTGGCCTCCACTCTCTAGGGGTGGGTGGGGGGCTCCCTACTGAGAACAGAGCACAGCTGGAGTGTGGAAGCCCTGAGTGGGCTTCTGTTTGGACCTGCCCAAACCCCCACACCCAGCTTGGGGTGGGTGGGGGGCCTCTGGGGCCCTGAGTCATTGAGGCCTTCCCACCCCCTAGCCCCATCTCACACACTGCAGGGCTGGTGGCTGAGGCCCCTGCCACCCCTCCGTCACCCCTACCCCAGCCCATCCTATCACTGCTTCACCCCCTCCCACCCCACCCAACCCCCCACTGCACCCTCCCCTCCCTGTGTTAAGTTTGTCTTCCAAACTGCATTTCTTTCTTCTTTCTTCTTTCTCTCTTTCCTTCCTTTTTATTTATTTTTAATTATGGTAAAAAATATATATAACATAAAATTTACCATCTTTACTATTTGTAAGTGTACAGTTCAGTATCATTAAATGTATTCACATAGTTGTGCAATAGATCTCCAGAACTTTTCCACCTTGCACAAGTGAAACTCCGTACCCATTAAACAACAACTCCCCAGTCCCCCTCCCCCCAGCCCCTGGCAACCACCCTTCTCCTTTCTGTCTCTGAATCTGAGGACTCTAGGACCTCATGTAAGTGGAATCACACAGTATTGTTCCTCTTGTGACTGGCTTATTTCACTTAGCATAATGTCCTCGAGACAAACTGCATGTCTTAACTAAGAATCTGTTTCTCTACCCAAGCAGGCTGATTATTTATTTTTATAATTATTTTACCTCGCGCTCACCCGAAGCGGTCACTCGGTGCTTTCTTGCCTATGTTAACTCCCTGCATCACATTCTCTGATTCTGACTCCTGCCTATTGAGAAACGCTGGATTCAAGGCCTGGCAGGATGCTGAAGGGCACTTGTGGACAATAGCAGGTGATCTTGGCTCTGTCACTTCCCTTCACGGGGCGTTGGTGAGGGAGTGTCCCCAAATCCTATGCCTCCAGGATTTAAATCCACGTGGGCCCCTCGAGGGCCCCAAGCTCTGAGGATGGGCCTCTTGAGAGGCCAAGGGGTGCAGAGGAGGAGGAATACAGGTAAGGAGCTTTAGTTTCTGAATGGGTGAAATGTGCATAAATGCCGCTTTGCAAAGTTGTTGTGGGGATCACAGGTGTAGCGTCCATGTGAGGGTCTAGGTACCCGGAAGTTCTCCCTTTCCACACGGCGGGCTTCTCTGGGGTGCCGGTTACACCGGGTGTTCAGCTTGGGAACTTTTGCTGACCCTGCACTTGTGATGGTCCACTTTTCTGCATGTATATTAAAATTAAAGCTTATGAAAACATAGTCCCCTTTTCCTCCTTCCATGGAGAGACTGGGGGCACCTCAGGGTCTCAGGCAGCTTTTTTTCCCACATCTAAGCACAGGGCGGGGGCAGGAAAGGGGTCTCCCCAGGTCGGAGGATGAAGTCCCTCCCGGTGCTCCCGCCTCAGCACCTTTCTGTGATGTTTCTCTGCCCCCTGGTGGTAGGAAGGGACCTCAGCAGAGGCACAGCCCCACGTGGGACCCCCACCCCCGGCTGCCTTGTGCCCAGCTTCTCTCCACCCTCTCGCTCACTTCAGCCAGGCCAGGAAGGATCTGACTGGGTCCAGAAGGCTCGGCCTGGGCTGGGGGTGGGGAGCACATGAGAGAGTGGGTGGGGCTGTAGGGTGGGGCGCAGGTGGAGATGGTTGGGGTAGAGCTGCAGAAGCCAGCATTTAAGGGGCTGGGGGGGAGCGCTAAGTCTGCACTTAGGCTGCCTTGCCCTGCCAGGCATTTGTGTTTCTGCTTGGTGAGGGGCCAGAGGGGGCCCACCAGAGGCAGCACGAGCATGGGAGGCCTCTGGCCTTGGGTGCTGGGTCTGCTCTCTTTGCCAGGTAAGCGGGCTGCCTCGTTCCAGCCTGCAGAGTGCTGGGGAGAGGCCAGAAGTGTGTGGCTAGAGCCTGCAGGAGTCTGAATGGCTCAGAGGATGGGCTCTCCAGGGAGTGTTCCTAGAAGTCACCTCCTGGGGGTCCTAAGGGGAGGCCTCCCGAAGACCCCGGTAGCAGAGGGCCTGCCTTGGCAGGAGTTAGCAGGTGTGGCACTCCAGACATCCTTGTCCTGCTGGCCGTGCCAGGCTTGCCCAGGCTGAGCCCATTTTCCAGTAGCCTGGGATGAGAAGGCAGCCATGGGGCAGGGTCGGAGGCTAGCCTGCACCCTGCCATCAGTGTTGGAGCCTGAGGTCCATCCCTGCCTCCTTCCTGCTCACTGCCCTACCTCATACACACCCAGATGCTCAGAGCATGGGGATGCCTTTTGGAGCCCAGTGTTGGTCCTGATAAGAGAGCTTCCTCCAAGTCATCTGGGCCTTGGCACCAGCTGGGGCTGAGAGGGGAGGCTCCCAGGGCTCTTTGCTGGAGGCCTCCCTTTGTGAAGGGCCTGGGTCTTGCGGTCTGACACCCCACCCCCACCCCATGTCCTGTCGTCCTGTCTCACCAATGGGGACACTTCGGGTACCGGTGCGTATGCACCTCTCTTTCTGGGCCAGGTTTGATCCTAGGAGCACCCTCAGCCTCCGGCTGCTCAGGAGCCTGTGGGCTCAGCTTCTCAGAAGGCCTCCTCACCCCTGAGGGGACCCAGACATCTTGGGACAAGGACATCCCTGCGATTAACCAAGGTGAGGACACTGTGTCTTCTCGTGGGGTAGAGGAGGTTTAAAATTGTCCGTGTAGTGGTGAAGGCCATGCTGAGTGCTCAGATGAGCAGAAGAAGCCAGGAGAAAACATGCCAACTCACTCAGTGGGCTCTCGGTGAGCAGGAGTTCTGTGGGCAACCTCTTCAAAGTCTATTTTTCTGTATCATCGCTGCTGGGTTATTACTTCTATAAGAAGGAAGAAAAGTGTAGAGTTTTAAAGATGGCCTGATGTAATTATTGGTCTGGGGTGGGGCCCCCCCAAGTCTGGTGTTGAGCCAAGTCATTAGTGGCTGCTTGGAAACAGGTCGCCACCTGG